GAACACACATCAGAATTTCAGTCATTTTCTTGGTTAGCCCCACTTAACATTTCCAAGAGAATACAACTGCCTGAATTTTGTGCTGTACACTGTCAGTACGCTTTCTTTATAATACATTATAAACAAAATTTGAAGTATTCCAAGTATTTGGATTAATTTTCTTCACCAGCTTCTCCCTCAAACTGAGAGCTCAAGAGAAGAGAAATGGTCCCTGTGACCTATTAAAGATACAGGATCTTTACATTAGGGGTGGGGAAAACCTGTGCAAAGGTTGGGCTTCACAGCCCATTAGGAATTTCTTTCCCTTCTCTGTGCTTAGTCACTACTTGGAACAGACCATGGCAAACACAGTCATGAACATATATGGCTGGATTTCAGATGTGAGCAGGAAGAACCCTAGTGAATAAATCCCCTGTGACTTAATGATTTATAATGAAAACCTCCAGTCAGCTACAGAGATCAGATCGAGTATCTCCGTTCTCCTATCCCACACAGATGGGATCCATTGTCTCTGTCCTCCGATCAAACACAGATAGGATCCAGTGTCATAGACTTCCTATCACACACTGGCTATAAAATTTGTTCCCTCCTCTATTCTCCAGTGCTTTTCTACATTGAATCAATTCCACAAACATTTAGCCTTGTGATTCTCTTACATTTTGTCTCCTTAGAAACATGACACATCATTCTCTTGTGCTTCCTCTGATCATTTTCAATCTTTCTCAGATATTCTTGGCCTTTATTTATGGCTAACATGTCTTTGTGTGAAATACACAGGTAAAACTTTGCAATCTATATGGGATAATTATGGAAAATAAACATCAGTGGTGACAGGTAAGGTTAGCTTTAATGAGTTCCACATGATTCTCAAAATAACACTCAGTTCATTAACGCAGGCGATGCATGTTACAAACATCCAATACCATGGAAGTAAATTATGTTTTGTATAACAACTGAGAAAACACATAAAAATTGTGTCAAGAGGAAGAGCAGGGATTTTCCTAGACTTGATGAAATAAGCATCAGTGTAAAACTCATGGCATCTCTGACATAGCAGTAGCTCATTGTCCTAACTATAGCAAAATGACAACACCCATAAATATACGGTGCAGAAAATTATTCAAATGCAACTACAATTACAGAGGTTAGTGTTCCACATTTGTAAACCAGGAAACACACAAATGCATCAAGGATGAGGCGGTTGGGTACCACACCTGTTGCTGAGAGTATATAAACTCAGCTCTCCACAGGGTGACATCCAAACTCAGAATCCTCTCAGATACATCCAGCTGAACTCACATCTCCTGTCAACATTGCCTACAGCTGCTGCTCTGGAAACTTCTCCTCCCGCTCCTTTAGACATTGCAAGCCATATTCAGGTTCCTCCTGTGGCTCTTCCTACCCTAGCAACCTGGTCTACATCACTACCAGTTGCTCTCCCAGCCCCTGCCAGATGGAATCCAGTCTGAACACCAGGTGTCAGGAGACCTGCATTGAGCCCACCAGCTGCCAGAGGTCCTGTGTGGTGTCCAGGCCCTGCCAGGTGGAATGCTCTGTGAACACCGGCTGTCAGGAGACCTGCATTGAACCCACCAGCTGCCAGAGATCCTGCGTGGTGTCCAGGCCCTGCCAGACAGCTTGCTACTACCCGAGGAGCTCCACACCTTGCAGTCCTTGCCAGGGATCATATGCTGGGACTCTGAGCTTTGGATCCAGCAGCTGCCGTTCCCTGGGCTATGGATCTAGAAGCTGCTACTCAGGGGGCTGTGGATCCAGTGGCTTCAGATCTCTGAATTGTGGAGTCTCTGGATTCCCTTCCTTGAGTTTTGGATCTAGATATTGCTATCCAAGCTACTTGGTGCCTCTTTCCTGTCAACCTTGTTACAGACCAATCTGTGGATCAGGCCTCTATGGAATCAGCTGCTAAGTCTTTGTTTTCCTATGTCAAATCTATGCTCTAAAGCTCTTGCTTCCCTGCCTAACTTCTACTGATACCATATCATACTTCCTTTAACAGCTTCCTCTCTGAACTTCAGCAGATTATGACATCAGTGGGTTACCCAAAATTATGGTCTACTCTCCGTACTGATGATGCTATTTGCTTTCTCTCTACGACCATTTGAAAAATAAAAATTTCATCTAATAAAGTTGTGCAATCTGATATCTTTATTCATTGTTCACATTATTGTTTCTTCACTCAGCTTCTATGCTTATGGTTTGGAAGACTTAAGATCAGTAGGATTGTCCAGCTGAATTGGGGGTATAAGATCTGGCATTAGTTTGCTTTTCTTTATTTGGAAGTTGTCAGTTCTAGGAAGATCATTATTCATGTCCAAACATCAGGGCTCAACTAGTGTGAATTGCCTGAGATTAAAGTACATGAATTTCTGTTGAGCCAAGAAAACAAAACAAACCTAGAAATGCCAACACCAAGAAAAAGATATTACATAATTTACAATCTGACTTCTTTATATAAGAGAAATATCAAGTCTAGTATTTATTTTTATATAGATTTCTATCATTTAATGTTTTATTTTTTATTGAAAAAAAATTTCTGCCTCCTCCCCGCCTCCCATTTCCCTCCCCACCTTGCTTTTCCCTCCCCCTCCTCCCACTCCTTTCCCCTTCTCCCCACTCCTCTCCCCCTCCCTCTCCAGTCTGAAGAGCAGTCAGGGTTCCCTTCCCTGTGGAATGTCCAAAGTCCTCCCCCCTCCATCCTGGTCTAGGAAGGAGAACACCCAAACTTGTTAGGATCACAAAGTCAGAACATGAAGTAGGATCAAAACCTAGTGCCTTTGTCCTTGGCTTCTCAGCAGCCCTCATTATCCGCCATATTCAGAGAGTCTGGTTTTATCCCATGCTTTTTCAGTCACAGTCCAGCTGGCCTTGGTGAGCTCCCAATAGATCAGCCCCACTGTCTCCATGNGTGTGACAAATACAGGTAAAACTTTGTATCTATGTGGAATAATTTTGGAAACTGAACATTAATGGTGACAGGTAAGGTTAGCCTTTTGTAGGTTCCAAAATATTCTCAAAATAATACTCAGTTCATTAACTTGAGAAATGCATGTTACGAACATCCACTATCATAGTAACAAATTATTTTTATAACATCGGCAAAACACATAAAATTGTGTTAAGAGAAATATCAAGCATTTTCCTAGACATGATGGAATAAGCATTAGTGTAAAACAGTCAATCATGCCATCCCCAAAATAGCAGAAGCTCATTGTCATAAATATAACAAAATGACAACACCCATAAATATACGGTGCAGAAAACTATTCAAAGTACAGCTACAATTACAGAGATTACTGTTCCACATTTGTAAACCAGGAAGCACACAAATGCATCAAGGATGAGACAGTTGGGTACCACACCTGTGGCTGAGAGTATATAAACTCAGCTCTCCACAAGGTGAGATCCAAACTCAGAATCCTCTCAGTTGCATCCAGCTGAGCTCACATCTTCTCTCAACATGGCCTACAGCTGCTGCTCTGGAAACCTCTCCTCCCGCTCGTTTAGACGTTGCCAGCCATATTCAGCTTCTTCCTGTGGCTCTTCCTACCCCAGCAACCTGGTCTACACCACTACCAGTTGCTCTCCCAGGCCCTGCCAGGTGGAATCTTCTCTGAACACCAGATGTCAGGAGACCTGCATTGAGCCCACCAGCTGCCAGACGTCCTGCGTGATGTCCAGCCCATGCCAGGTGGAATCCTCTGTGAACACCAGGTGTAAGGAGATCTGCATTGAGCCCACCAGCTACCAGAGGTCCTGTGTGGTGTCCAGCCCCTGCCAGGTGGAATCGTCTCTGAACACCAGCTGTCAGGAGACCTGCATTGAACCCACCAGCTGCCAGAGGTCCTGTGTTGTGTCCAGACCCTGCCAGACAGCCTGCTACTACCCGAGGAGCTCCACACATTGCAGACCCAGCTGGGGATCATATGCTGGATCTCTGGGCTTTGGATCCAGTAGCTGCAGTTCCGTGGGCTATGGTTCTAGGAGCTGCTACTCAGGGGGCTGTGGATCCAGTGGCTTCAGATCTCTGAATTGTAGAGTCTCTGGATTCCCTTCCTTGAGTTTTGGATCTAGATATTGCTATCCAAGCTACTTCATGCCTCTTTCCTGTCAACCTTGTTACAGACCAATCTGTGGATCAGGCCTCTATGGAATCAGCTGCTAAGTCTTTGTTTTCCTATGTCAAATCTATGCTCTAAAGCTCTTGCTTCCCTGCCTAACTTCTACTGATACCATATCATCCTTCCTTTAACAGCTTCCTCTCTGAACTTCAGCAGATTATGACATCAGTGGGTTACCCAAAATTATGGTCTACTTTCCGTACTGATGATGCTATTTGCTTTCTCTCCAAGATCATTTGAAAAATGAAAATTTCATCTAATAAAGTTGTGCAATCTGATATCTTCATGCATTTTTGCATTTTTGTCCACATTATTGTTTCTTTACTCAGCCTCTGCACTTGCGGTTTGGAAGACTTAAGATCAGTAGGATCGTCCAGCTGAATTGGGGGTATATGATCTGGCATTTTGCTTTGCTTTATTTGGAAGTTGTCAATTCTAGACAGATCATTATTCACTTCCAAACAACAGGGATCAACTAGTGTGAATTGCCTGAGATTAACGAACATGAATTTCTGTTAAGCCAAGAAATCAAAACAAAGATAGAGATGCCAACACCAAGAAAAAGATATTACATAATTTACAATCTGACTTCTTTATATAAGAGAAATATCAAGTCTAGTATTTGAATGTAGATTTTCAGTCAGGAGAAATTAGCTTTAAACAATTCTCAGGACTGATAGACATTTACATATTGGTGTACATGCTAATCTTCCTGCCTCATGTGATTGACTAAGGAACCCTGCACCTCATCCAAACACATAAGGAAAAGGGCAATAATCTTGGATCAAGAGGTGCTAAAAGTTTCCTACTACCTCCCAGGCTCAACTCCAATCAACTGAAAGGAAGGGCAACACTTCTATGAAGAGATTTAATTTACTAGGCTTTCTCTGTGTCCCAAAAAGCTGGGTTCAGTTAACATGACATAGTATCTTAAATAAAATTTAAGATTACATGTATTATGGGCATTCAAAGGGAAAAGGGGGAAAATAACTCAAAATATGCATCTTAATGAACTACTGGAAAGCAGCACTCTAGAAACATTTTGTTCACTTGCAAAGAGTCTTGGAATTGTCTACTACTGTGTCTGAGATAGGAAAGGACATTTCCCCTTATCTTCTATTCTTTATTGGTTGATATTTATAATCCCTGGATATTCACAACTGTTAAAGGAAGAAATGACAGCAGATCCTCCTTGTAAAAATTCAGATAAGGTGATATATACTCAAAGATACACAGAGTATATATCCATAATAAATGCAAATGAAAGCAAACAAAACCAGTGAGGCCAATGAGATAGGCGTGATACAGTAAATCAGGCCACGTGAAGGGCTTTTTTGTAATCGCTGAAGTCTCAGAGACTTTTGGCTTTAGGGGTTTCATATGTAGCATGCTCTAAGAGATGATCAGCCACAGGCCATGGCATACAGTGTTATGTAGGAGTTACACAGCCTCTATAAAATAGACTAAAAAACTCAGTAATGCAATAGAGTGAAATAAAGTCAATGATTCAGTAACTAGGGAAAACTTTGATTGCCAACATTATTTGGAACATACACACACGTCTTATATTACAATTCTATTTTCCATTTTGCTAGAATGTTGCAACTTGGCTGGAAATAGCACTACCATCTAGTATGTCTGTCATGATTGTAAATATGTCTCATCACAAGATTCCTACTTTATTTTCCATGACATCATCAGTACGTGTGGCTATAATCATCACTGTAATAACAGTAGTAAATTTTTGGAGAGTTTTATGAGGGTTCCTAAGATTGGATTATGAAACCAAATTGCTAGAATTAAATAATGTGTTTTAAATTGTTGGCAAGCCTGAAGTGAAACTGACTGTATTTTATCCTCAGTGATATTTTTCTTTTGGTAGTGACATAGGAACATATACTCGGTGAGTTTTATTTATGTGGCATTTTTTTGTCTTGATTTACTTCTATAAATATGTAAATAAAAGATATTTTGTTGACGTGAGGGAAAATGATGAAAAACATATTAAATGTGTATCAAAGTGGTATGTCAACAACTCTACATTTTCTAATATAGATGACCATCTTTTATAGCAATTTTTCTATTTGTTTCATTGGGTTGAAGATCCTAGATTTTCATAAAAATTTTTTATATACCTTTCATTTTGGTTGAGTGGTATGAAGTCTTAGTTACTCATACCTATCCCCCTCTCTATTCTTCAAGCCTGCCACCTCAATATTCCTACTTATTTTATCCATGGCAATTCAAGATGATCCCTTTCGAGTACCTTGCCTTCCATGCATTCACTATGGTAAGTATAAAAAAGATTATTTTCAAAGCTAGAGTCGATCAGAATGACAACATATGGGGATTATATATTTGTGTCACAATGTTCTCACCCTTTATATGATTTGTTCCCATTTTCTTCCACTTATCCAGACTTTTTATAGTTTCATCTCATCTGTATAAGTTCTGTATTTTTCCATCATTTGATAAGCATCTGACTGATCTGAATTCCTACTAGTTGTGAATGAAACCACAAGGAATATGGATGTGCAACCATCTCTGTTGTAGGTAATCGCCTCTTGAATATATAGCTCGGTTTTTGTTGTACTTATTTTTATAGTTTTTGTTGCTTTTGTAAAACCCATGTGGCTGTATTTGTTTGTATTAAAACTGCATCTAATATTCTTTTTATTTTTTATTGATTGTTGCCTCTTTATATGCGAGTGTCAAACTGTTTTAAAATTTATGACTTGGTGGTATAATTTGAAACTGGGTGTGTTGGCTACTTCATTTGATTTTTACT